TTTAAAAGGCTCTACATACAGAGAGAAAAATGATGCTTATCTCATGGGGTATTATAAATATAAAAATGTGATAATATATAATATCTCTGCATATATTTCTACCAAAGTAATACCAAAACATGCTATAAAGAGTACTATTCCAGTTCCATGATTTGGAAAAGATAATGTAAGTGTAAAAAATGATCATAGATCTTTATATTGAAACATCAAAAAAAGTGTAGACTTTTTAAATCCATAAAGTGATATCAGGTTTAAGCAAAGTAACAGAAATGCAATAATAAATAATTTTGTGTCCAGTATTTTCCTGAAATATGTTGCTATTTAACACAAACCAACAACCCCAATTTATTGTTTATAGATTGATTTTCATTCCCTTATTTTAAGAAAAATTAAAACATGAACATAACATGTTTATTTGAGAGGATGCATCAGTTGCTTTATTAAAAGAACTCAGCTTTTATAAAATACAAGTTGACACAGAAACTCTTTACACACATAAATTCTCTAATATATATGAAATATGATTTTATGGACTAATTTATAAAACATTTTATAAACAATTTGTCTGGGACTTGTCATTTCACAAAGCACAGTAACCCTCCACTGGCAGGCATGCACAAGGAAGCAATTGGAATTGTCACTGTTATTCCTTATTAAACTCAAAAAACATTTAAAAAACACTTTAGTGACAATGAAGTATAATGAAGCAGGTCACCCAAATAACTATTTTTAAAAGCATATCGGCAGTAGTAGAATAAACTAACTCAATTTGGGCAATTTCCCACCATCACTGTTTTGTGTTTTTCATTAGTATATAGAAAATGTCACAGGGAACAGACAGAATTAACATAAGTGAATTGCATCCTGAGTGGAGCAAAGAATACTTCTGGTTTAACACTACACATAACTCCATTTAACTGACTATTTTTTATACCAATGTAGAACATTAAAATATTGGATTTTTTAAAAGGAAAACAATAATAACAAAAGTCCCAACACTTAGAATTAGAAAAAGTCTTTGATCAAGGCAGTGAACATTCTGGAGTTGATTTTTATAGACCTCTCTATAGAACACTCCATAATCTTCTTTGTGATCACTCTTAGAGAATGAGTTTGAATTAAATTTTATGTTACTTTTGAGTACATAATTTCATATTTTAATAATCTAGAGTAGATGGTCTAAATCTCGCTTATGTAAACATCAAGTGTACTGTTGAATAAAAAATAAAAGATGAGAATTCTAAAAGATTTTATACTCTGCTGTTAGGAGAAGTTTGAGAGTTCTTTCTCAGGGGTCTTTAATTTAAATAAATCATTTCATTTTTGTAACTCCATCCCTGGAGTCACAGCTAGCAAAGGCTATTGCTGTAGGTTTTGGACAACCAGAGAGCAGAGGCACAAATCTGAGACTAGAACCTGGTTTGGATATCAGAAAAACTGCATAGCACCTATGATGTTAAACTACAAAGAATTAATACGTATTAGTTTGGTGCCGGTTGGGTAAGTGTTTCTGGCATTTCCCTCAGTCACTTAAACTCATTTTCAGAGAATGGACTGCTGTAAAAGAAGGCAGTCTCATTAAGAGTTTATTTCCTCAAAATGCTGAAGCATAGCAAGTTTCTACTGTGACGGGATCAGCAAACTGCATGTATCTCTTTAGTTGGAGGAAGACCCCAAAGCTTTTGTTTTTGAGCAGGCATCACAGGTTCGAAAATGAAGAATTTCATCTTGTCACACCCTGCCTTACCTCGTTTCAAGGCTGGCTGTGTTTTCTTTACACAGAATAAAATTTTAGCAGGAGCAGAAGCCAAATGCTTAAAATGAATGATCAACTTACAATTCGTATGAATCTATTCTTTCATGCTGCTCTGCTTAAAAATAGCATCACAAATGCACATCTGCAAAGACTGTGCAACCCCCCTTTCCTGAATTGTACAAATTATTAGAGTCGTTGACAAAAGATTTTTTTTGTTTAGGGGTTGGTCTGGGCACTCTCTTTGGCAGACTGCCACTTTTCTAGCAGTGGAAATATTGCTTGCAGAAAGCCACATTGTACAGAACAGCTGTTCTGCTAAAACATTGAGCTAGCAACCCAAGAAATGACTGACTTCACATGTGAAGCAAAATTGTTCCCTCCCTTTGTACTAATTTAAATGAAATAAAAGTACAAAACATTCTCGTCTGTGAATGCCGTCTTGTCTTCCTTCACAAATACAGGCTTTAGTGACACACATGTGAGCTGAAGCCAAGGTGAGCACTTGATTCTCTGACCACCCTCCCAGCGGTGTGCTTGAACTTTGGCCATTTGACTTCCAGGCTCCCAGGGTAGCAGCTATTCTTCTGATCTGATCCTGTCTATATTCAAGTCTTAGATGCTGAGGGATATTCTATGAACTATGTACATTAGGATTTCAAAATTTAAAAATACACCTCATTCAAACTTTCTATCTCTATAAAAACAAAAATATCAGAGAGGTGATACTAAAAGATTATATTAGATTAAGCTTTTAGTGTATAAGCATGGTTATGCTTTTCGTTATTTGCAATTATATTCAGATAACAGAAATATATACAAGTATTCTGTGTTCTACATGGCATTGGGTAGCCTGTTTAAAATACTCAGCTGAAAGAAAAAATTCTTCATAAGTTTAACTTGACATCTAGTTGGCCACGAATCTCATTATATGTCATAACATTTACACTTTTGACCATATTTATGTATACTAAATCATCTAATACCAATGGGTATGTAAAATAAAGGCAGAAAAATACTTGAAGGTAGAATTTCAACAATTATTTTTCTTGGAAAATAATATTTTTTACTTTAAAAATACTTTATACATATTCAATATGATTATCTATTAAAAACTGCAATAAAGGTTACCTTCTTACTCTCATTCTGCATTGATCATTCTCTCTGTGATCCTACATTACTTTGCTTTAGAACTTTGTCAACATAAATAATATCTTACTTTATTATTTTGTGAGAATGAGTCACTCCTCTCACTAGATTGTAAACTCCTAGAGGAGAGGATTCAGGTTTTTTCCGTCTTTGCATTCCCCATAGAGGCAAATATAGAGTCTTTCAATACAAGGGGAAACCCCCCAAAACCCCAGAATTTATCATTTAGAGCATGGACCCCTTGTAGTACACTTGGAATTTGTTCCTCTAGATCAAAAGGTCAAAGTTTTTAATTGGAAGTTTTGAGAAGATTGCATCATGATTTGTGGAAAAAACACCTCTAGTTGGTGACTGGCTCTTCCACCATGACAACGTACCTGGCCACACCATGCTAAGTGTTCAGCAGTTTTTGAGAAAAAAACACCATGATCCCCTGGACCCCACCCTCCATATTCATCCAATCTCACCCCCAGTGATTGTTTTTTGTTTCCCCAGATGAAAACAGTCCTCAAAGAGAAAGATTTGCCAATGTGGAAGAGGTGTAACAAAAAACAGCAGAAGCACTAAAAGATATCAGAATTGACAGTGCAAAAACTGTTTTGAGCAGTGGAAAAAAAGCAACTTGATAGGTGTATTGCATCAAATGGAGAGTACTTTGAGGTGGCTGAAGTTTAATTATGTAAGAATAAACACACCTTTTAAAATAAATTCCATTTGGGGGGGCTCTCCCTTGTATAATAAATATTCAAGTATAGAAAGGATGAGTAGGTGAATAAAATTAAAGGAGATCTCTTATGACCAAAAAAAATTGATCTCCTAAAACCTACAGTAAGATTATATCTATTTTTTTAAAATTTTATTTTAAAGATGTGGAGTACAATTCAGGGTTAGGTATACAAATGGTCATTGCACAGGTAAAGTTCGGGCCTCATTTTGGTCCCTGCTTCACCTGGTTTGAGATCAGGTACCCTTATTGATGAGTGTACCCCTCCACAGTTTCCCACTACTGTTAATTTCTTTCTTATAGTATTATGATAATTGTTCAGGGTCCGCTTATGAGTGAGAGAGTGTGGTACGCAGTTCTTTGTTTCTATGATAGATCACTCAGTATTATAGTCTCCAAGTCCATCCAAGTTACTGTAAGGTTCATAATTTTGTCCTTCTTTATGGCTGCATACTATTCTATATGTATATGTACCACATTTTTTTAAACCAGTCCACTTTCAATGGGCAGCATGGCTGGCTCCATGTTTTTGCTATTGTGAATAATGCTGCAATAAACATGCGTGTGCAGGTATCTTTTTCATAGAGTCGTTTGAGTTCCTCAGGGTATATTCCCAGACTGGGTATTGCTGGGCCATACGGAGGGTCGATTTTTAGATCTTTTAGGAATCACCACACTGTTTTCCATGCTATAGCAACCTGATCAGCCTGTGCCCAGAGCAGAGGAAAGGGGCTGGAGACTAGGGCTGGTTCCCTCCCACAGCGGTGGCCAGAGCAGCTGTGGTGCTTGGGAAGGGAGCCTGAAGTTCCAGAAATGGCAACAGAGGGGGGTCTTTTTTTTCCATTTAGTTTATGTTTTAGTACTTTTTTTTTTGGTGATTTTTAGTTTTTCTGTTTGCATATGGGTATTTTTGAGGGCGAGTGCACCAGGGGATTTTTTGTTTGTGTGTTTGTATGTATTTTGGGGGGGGGGTTTGTTTCTTATTTTTTGTTTCTTTGTTTAGTTGGTGTGCCTATTTTCCTTCTCCTTCTCCTCTCTCTTTGTCTTCCTTTGTCTCCCTTCTTCCTTTTTCCATTATTTTCTTTACATCATTTTTCTTTCAGGAAGTATACATACATCTCCCCTCCTCCCTGCATGGACAGATTGTAAGGTGGAGGGAAGTGGGTTCCAGGGGGTCCACACACCTGTCAGCAGATACTGTGATCTGCAGATAGCTTCTGGACCACAGTTCCCCCCATCACATCTTAATCAGATCTCAAAACTGCAAAAAGCTCAGGCCTCCATCCCCTGTCCAACTTCAAAACTGAGCAAATCCAGAGGATCTACATAAGGAAGAGCAGGGGATTTTGAGCAAACAGAAGTGAAAGTTATCACCCTATCACTGAGCAATGGAATTAAAGGGGGGAAAGAAAGAGAAAGGAAAACCATCACAAATGAAGAAGAATCAAAGGAAGAACACAGGTCCTGGGAAGACAGCACTTGGGAATATAGACTTTGGAACTCAAACAATGAAGATTATATCTATTAAGCCAAAATTCTGAGGGGGAAGATATCAGTTATATGCACTGTTGTAATAAATTGGCCTTGTATTTCAGATACAATGTATTTTAAGAGTTCTTGAGTTTTCCTATCAACTTAATGAAATGTCCACGTTAACATTTTATAGACTCAATTTCTGCATACCTTGTTATTTTAAACATAAAAAAACATTAAGCTGTCTTATCCCCAGATCATCTGTGTCATTTAAGAAGCTCTAAATTTCCTCTACTCTATCATAAGATGCAAGATAAGACTTTTTTACATGCCAGAATTCCAAAAAATATTTTTTAAAAAGTACATGTTAAGCCATCTCTTTCTTCTGATTAACATCATTTTGAAAATACAATCTTAAACACAAAAGCTTGCTTCTCATGTGTAATAAAATCATAAATAGAAATTCTAGCATGGCTTTGGTAGTTCCTCTGCAAGCTTAAGTCTCCCAACAGAATCTGGACTCACTGCAGTAAAAACCATACCGTATCTGTTAGTTCTCAGGTCTAACTATGCCGTATTTTCAGACTGGAAAAATGAAACCAAAGATTTGTTCAAGTCACAAAGATCTGAACTCAGGAGTGTATAATTCCACTAACCAAGACCTTACTACAAATCAGCCATTCTGAAGACATTAAAATGACTAGGATGATTCAATTCCATTGCATTCCTGTATTTTTTTCTGCATTCTTCAGCCTTGGGTATATAAACTGTACCTTTACTATAGGTTGTTAGAACTCCTTGTGTTATGGACTGAATGTTTGTGCCCCCACCCACCCCAGATACATATATTGACAGCCTAAATACCCAATGTGATATCTGGAGACAGGGCCTTTCAGAGGTAATAGTCATGAGGGTAGAATCCTCATGAATGGGATTAGTGCCCTTACAAGAAGAGAAATGATGAGAAAATGGCTATATGAGAACCAGGACGAGGGCCCTCACAAAGAACTCGACCATGCTGGAACCTTGATCTTGGATTTCCAACCTCCAGATTATGGGAAAGAAATATTTCTTGTTGTATAACCTGTCTGTAATATTCTATTAGAGCAGTCCAAACTAAGACACTCTGCAAGAGTCCCCTTTTCTAACCTCTGTAAAAGTATTATTTTACTTTTCTAACTGGAGCTGCTCATGCAGCAACAAATGCAGTGACTGACTCATAACAAGGAGGCTGGGTCTGATTACCTCCCAGATGTAAATCACAGCATAGCATCGGCTGAACAACTCGTTACAGATGTTTCAGCAACTCCAGGATAAAAGATACAATGAGAAGTATTTTAGGTCAGGTGTCAGCTAAGCAAATATCACTGTACCACTTTATAAATGTCCCCAAGAACACCCAAAATAAGGCTTACCTGCATGAGCATTCCTGTTTCTTTGCATTTTACACATTTTGTTATGCTATCTTCATGTCTTCTTTTCATAATGGAAAACGATAGCAATTTTGCTTTTATGCTAAAACTCTCAAAAACCTGGATACTATTCATCTATTTTTATAGAAGAAAGTCAACATTTTAAAGTATTTATATAAAACCCAAACTGTGTACACAGTGTTTTCGTCATCAGTGCTGATATTCAGCACAGCCCTATTTTACAAACTGTAAAATTATATGAGTGATGTGCTTTAATTACAAAACAGTACTGAAACGTAAGTCTTGGTAGTGCTTTGGGAAGTTATGACTATGAACTCACTGAGTGTGAGTGCCTTCCAAGTGCTTCCCTTAGAGCATTCAAAAAATTCATGGTGATTCATCCCAACAGACAACAGCTGAAGACCACAGGAGCTATTTCCTAGGAACTGTATTTTGTTTCTTGAGTATAGCAAGCTGTGAAAATTTTAGTATGCTATACATATTTCTTCACTATGTAGACATGGTTTTGGAGATACGGTAAATTTTACCTACAAAAGACTAGTTCAGCTTTACCAATCTTATTCATTGTAATGCTAATAATAACATTGAATTCTTGAGATACAAATCTCAAATGTCTTACTTCTAATGATTTTTTAATGATGGTTACAGCCACGTCTTACCTAAATCCATCAGTAAAATCAGAAGGACAACTAATACATTATGTAGAAAAATAAATCAAGATGATTAATTAACCTAACTGACCAGCTGTATGATTAGTTAGGTCAAAATGACCAAATGATAGTCCTGTATACACAGTGTTTTCATCATGTTTCTCTTTAACAAGATCCTGCATCTAGAGAAGACTAGTGTGGATTATTTGCTATATATTCGACTGAGAATACTGCCAAAAACAATAAGCCAAGTCATACTAATGATTTAATATGACTTTTCACTTAATTTTTCAGCAATATGCATATTAAAGAAAACAGCATACATCTATGGATGCCTATTAAATATGCCAACACCACACCCCTGGCTGGTTAGTAATGCTAGCCATCATAATAAATAGATTTATGAACATACATTAGCTCTGAAGATGATTTTTAAAAAACATATTACCAGCCATTTATTGTTACTATATGTTTTAAACAAATACAAGAATTAACCTTTTACAACTAGCAGCATGTTTCCTACCACAATGGGTTCTTAAAAAGTACCTAAGCCCCTTCTATTAATAGTTCTAATGCACTAAACAGGGGTTGACCACCTATGACCTGCATGCAGGTCAAACTCAGCCAGCTGTCTGTTTCTGTATAGCCCACAAGATAAGAATGTGCTATTGTTTTAATTTTTTAAATGGTTGAAAAAACTCATAAGAAGAATACTATTCTATGATCCATCATATTAGATTGTAGTATCTACAAATAAAGTTTTACTAAAACACAGCTACACACATTCACTTACAACTGGTTGATAGAGCTACTTTTGCACACTAAAAGCAGAGCTGAGCAGTTGCAGTAGAGACTTAATACCTCACGAAGGCTAAATTATTTACTATCTGGTCCTTAACAGAAAAAGGGGGCTGACCCATGTTCTAGAACTGTATAGTCAGTGTTTGTCTTGGCTTCCCAACTTTCCCCTTTAGGTAATCCTTGACCACAGTTGGGAGAACAGAAAATGTGATACTAGTCAACTTTACCAAGGAAGGAGACGAACCAGAGTTTGAATTTGTGCTCATGTATGGCTCTCTATGGGAAATAAGTAACTTACAAAGTTGAGAAAATTCATGTATGACCCTTAATGGTTCACTTATAAGTTTTTAAGTAAACTGTGTAAAAAAAAAGTTAATCATTTCCTCTCTTCTATATCCTTTGATTGATATCATAACTGTGAGTTAATCACATTTCTTAATATAACAGCAATAAAATACTATAGAAGGTTGAACATTTGGAGACTCAACATCACAGTTAGAAAGGTAAGAAGCTTGGTCAGAACAAGTTTTCAGTTGAGCAGAGGCTTGTTTTCCCAATGTTTCTATCATCACAGTGAATTCTAATGTTTTTGTTTGTTTTTCTAGAGACAAGATCTCACTATGTTGCCCAGGCTGGTCTCAAACTCCTGGGTTCAAGTGATCCTCCTGCCTCAACCTCTCAAACTGCTAGGATTACAGGTATGAGCCACCATGCTCAGCATCAATTTTTTTTGTTTTTTTTAAAGTAACCTTTTTATTTGGCAATATTCTAGATTTACAGATTTGCAAAGACAGTACAGAAAGTTCCTATCTACCTTTCTCCTATCTACCTATCTAGTTTCTCCTAACGTTAGTATCAGATTCCTTTTAAAAAATTATTCTTTTGACTGGGCTCAGTTGTTCAGCCTGTAATTCCAGCACTTTGGGAGGCCCACACGACTTGATTGCCTGAGCCCACAGATTCAAGACCAGTTCAGGCAACCTGGCGAGAACTTGTCTCTACAATAAATCAAAAATTAGCCGGGCATGTAATGTGAACCTGTAGTTCTGGCTACTTGGAAGGTGGAGGCGGAAGGATCACCGAAGCCTAGCAGGTAGACGCTGGGGTGGCTGTGAGTGTGCCACTGCACTCCAGCCTGGCAACAGAGTCAGACTCCAACTAAAAAAAAAAAAAAAAAAAAAAAAAAATATATATATATATATATATATATATATTCTTTTAATGGAATTATAATGCTCGTGCTTTTGAATAACCTACCTATGTTTTCTGAATTTGAACACAATGTTATCATTTGTTCTAAAATGGGCCAATGTCTACACATGAGCCAAATAAGTTCATATATATTTCAATATAATACAAATGCAGAAAAGGGATTCCAGTGATGTGTGGCTAAACATAGAAAGAAAATTTCTTTATTATGGAAGAATATGTGCTGAACTAGGATATCAGAGGCCTGAATTCTAGGTGCAACTTCATTACTGATTTTGTTTTGTCAATAAACTTCTCTCTACATTGGTTTTCCCAACAAAATAGCAAGAGAATTGAAACAGGGTCATTAAACCAAAAATTCTACTGGCTTTCTTCTCTTGCCCAGGTCTGGACATTCGCTGATATATTATGGACCCAGAAAGGATGAGAAAAGCTGCAGTCAATCAGTATTCAAAGCCACATTAGTTTTTACAGGTGGAGGTCACCACATGTTTATTAAGGCATAGCGAAGACTTATGCACAGTATCAAGAAAGCTGTTTCTGGAAATTAAGGCCACAGTACAATTTCAATCATATAAAGCAGTCAGAGGTGACTCCTTCTTTGCTATCCCCATGAAATATTGTTATCTGCAGAGCACTGAAACTGTATATTGTGCTTTGCAAGAGGTGATAGGGCTAACAAAAGCACGTTAAAGAATTCCAATCCTAAAGAACAGAGCACATAAACTTGAAAGTCCTAAGTAAGTGAGTACAGTGCAGTATAATGCAATGCCACATATGTCATGACTAAAATATTACATTATCAGGAACTGGTA